AGCTTTCTGGGCTCTTCGGGCCTGAACAGGTTCTTTGGAGGTTCAGGGCGTCTCGTCAGTGTTGTTTAGGGGTGTGTAACCCTTCACCCGAGCTCCTCGCTGGCCTTCTCCACGTCGGCAATCTGAAGCAGGCAAACACGTACATGGACGTTGCGCCATGACAAGGATCATTGGGGGAGTTGTTCCATAGACTGTTGGTTTACATGACCAGTGACCGGCTTAGACCAGGACTTTGGGCTTACTTGTACCACCACACAAAAAGCAGGGAATCTAGGGATCCCTGCGCGGAAAAACAAGGAAGGCACTGAATGCAAGGAGCTAAGTCATGGTTCGCTCCCACAATCATGATAAATTTGGTTTTGAAGTACCTCACAACCCTATATATTCTCATTCCTGTACCTGTGTTGTGGGGTAGGTGGTTCTGGGTGGCTTCCGCCTCACTAGCACGGGAATCGGTCCGTGGCGGAAAACATCAAAGCCAGGCGTTTTCTCTTCCAACCCCGGCAAGACCCGCCAACCCCACAAGATCTGTTCAGGCGTTTTGGAAACCTCACCTTTGGAGAACCAAATCCCATGTGTCCCGTCGAGTCGCTTCGACTCGAATCTGGGCCCAGCACGGCCACCTCCGCGGTCAGCGGACCAGGGTCTGCACCCAAGAGCTGCGCCGCACCTCGAGGGATGGAAACATCTGGAGCTCGTTTCCCTGTAAAATGCGGGATTTAGGACCTATCTCCTTGATTAGACACTTGGGGAGCGCCTCCCTGCATTTCTTCTGGGAAAATTAAGACTGTTTCTGCGGAAAATTTAGAACCCACTCTGAAGGAAAAGAAGCTGAATGGACAGAATCCTGCACCACCCTTCCAGCCCCTCAAAGCAACATTGAATGCGGGGTTCGGGGGGGGGAGGGGGTTCCTTCTACATGTTTTTTACTCCGTGATTGAAGTGGTACAGGATTCCGCCCATCTACAGTATGAATACGAACATAGATGTTGTTTGGGTGGACAATGCAAATTCTGATGTCCACAGGGCCGGCAACGCTGCCGAATCTGTCGAAATCGGGCTTCCTGAAGTGTTCTTCACCCGTTCAAAAGGAGGCCATGGAAGGTCTAAGCTTGATGCAGGTTTTGAAGAAGAGTCCTGGCTTCAAGCTAGAAAGAGCCCTGCCCATACATCTATTCGAAGCCCATCAATTTGGTGACCCACTGAATCTCTTCGAACACATTGGTTTTTTTCTGGATGCTACACACATGATTCTCCTTTGGTGCAGGCGATCGGAACCCGTTAATGCCCGTTTATGCCCGGGTCCCCATGAGCCGTCAGGCGAAGCCCATCTAGAGCCCCGGCTTTGACACTTTCCCATAAACAATTCGAGCCCGGGACCAACTCGTGTATGAACGTCGGCGCGTAGGACTTTGTGAATCTGAGCCGGACGGGATGCGCTGAGCAGGAAAATAAAGAAAAAGGGTTGCGGGGTTGCTGCACTGCTGGGTTGCTTGCTTGCCCGCTTGGCTACTTGCTTGCTTCCTTGCTTCCTTGCTTCCTTGCTTCCTTGCTTCCTTGCTTCCTTGCTTCCTTGCTGGCTTGCTGGCTTGCTTGATTGCTTGCTTGCTTGCTTGCTTGCTTGCTTGCTTCCTTGCTTCCTTGCTTCCTTGCTTCCTTGCTTCCTTGCTTCCTTGCTTCCTTGCTTCCTTGCTTCCTTGCTTCCTTGCTTCCTTGCTTCCTTGCTTCCTTGCTTCCTTGCTTCCTTGCTTCCTTGCTTCCTTGCTTGCTTGCTTCCTTGTTGGTTGGTTGGTTGGTTGCTTAGTTTGCTCGGTTAGGTTGCTTGGTTAGGTTGCTTGGTCGCTTGGTCGCTTGGTCACTTGATTGCTTGATTGCTTGGTTGATTTGTTGCCTGCCTGCCTGCCTGCCTGCCTGCCTGCCTACCTGCCTGCCTACCTGGTTGGTTGCCACCTAGGATGGATCACACCTAACAAATACTGGGATAAACCGCGTGCAAATCGGTGCGAAGCAGATTCTGTCCAACAGTACTTGAGTTCAGGGCTCCCGATTGGTCCACCCGCCCTAGCGAGGAAACCAACTGCCCTTGTGCCCTTCACCAGGAAAGGTTCTCGTAGGAACCTTCTCAGGATTCTGATCGAAGAGTTCTGAGAGCAGAGGAACACAATTGGGACTCTCAATATCTCTGATGCGCTCTGCCCGGCCTCTCGGCAAGACTCGACATCCTGACATCGGATGCGTGGCATGCCTGGTGAGTGGGTTCTAGAATGCTACACATATGATGATCTGTTGGTGCAAGTCCCTGGATCACCATGCTATCCATCCCACACATGAAACAGCGTTTTGGTAGAAGGATACATCCAAAAACCACCTGCTTGACCACGAGATCCTTTAAGGCTGGTGGTGTCTAGTTGTTCAACTGGCCCAAACGTATCCCTTAAGGAAACTGTGAGAAGGTACCGAATCCCAGAAACTCCAATCATCCAGAGCAAGGAGCACCGTAGCCTCACAATGCTTCTTCTTAACATCGTTCCAAGCTTCCGACATCGCCCGGGTTCATGCTTCCTAGAATAGGAGAGACCCCTCCAAATGCTGGGGTCACCTTCGTTTAAATTCAATCCATCCATCTTGGGCATTGCGCTTTTACAAACCAAACCGTGGCCTCTCTTCAAATAACTGAACAGGAAGCCAAAAGAAGGCGGTTTGGACACGAGTGATAGAAATGGTCTACACCAGGGTGAAAGCAGATGAAGCAATTCAGGGGGTGAATTGTGCCATCTGTGTAAACAGGTGTCATCTACTTTCACCCGATCTCTTTTACACAGGTTGCCATCCAGTTCCGTTTCCCTGAGCCGGCCTGAGCCAGCATGGTCTCCAGGGCCTCCTGGCAGAACCAAACCGCCGGCAAATGTTTTGAAGCTGGGAAAGTGAAACCGCCCTTGTTGGGGCCCCCGTGTTTTCACACAATGTGATCAATTCTCGAACTAGGCCTCCCCATATTTCCACCTTTTCGGTTCACCCCACGAGGAAGCTCACATTAGTTTGTCAGTAAACCGACAGAAAGAAACCTGTAGGAAGCCTGACTGAAGAACAAAACATGGACAAATATCGAAACTTATGAACAAACGCAAGAACAAAATGCAAAGAAAGCCGTTGAAAAAGCTTGAACCACGGACGATGCAGCCTTTAACCACTAAACTTGGAGCGGAGACAACAAAGTTCAACAACAGGCAAATTTGAACAACCTGGAAAGCAAAAGTCTCAGCCACTATCAAGAATGAACAACCGGAAAGAAAGCCTGTCAACCAATACCAAAGTTGAAAAAAATAAAAAGCAAATCAAACCAGCATCAAACTTGAACGACCGCAGTAAAGCAAAGGCAGTTTCAACTCGGGACTTGAACCCCCAAAAAAAGAGGCATCGCGTCAAACGCCTGTTGGAACCGGAACCTCCGGGCGAACGCATGTTGCTCGTTCCTTGGAACTCTCCAGGCGGGCGAAGGCGAAACGGAAGGCGTCCGAGGCCTTCGTTGCCGAGGCGGCGCTTCAAAGAGAGCCGAAAGAACCCCCACACCACCCACCACCCATCTGTTTGGGGGGCGTCCCCCTTATGTTGGCACACTGGCGGATTGTGTGGCCCAAATTCGTGGATATTGGTTGAAGAATGCCAGTCCTGACAGTGTCTTTAGGGACCTTATGTGGTAACATGGCGCCTTTTTGAGGGTACCATTTTCAGGTTGGTGTCACGGGAAACGAAATGGGAAACCCATTTTGGATTCTTGGGGGGGGTCCTGCCATTTTGAAAGTCACTGAAAACCAGCGAATTTAGAGTGGAACTTGGATGTGATGTATCCTTTAAGGAACCCTTGGCATAAAAACGGATCAATATGACACAACCCACTGCCACTTGATGGACAACATGCGCTTCAACGGACTTGTCCATCAGGACACACTGGGGCGCCGGCCCCGCCGGCTTGCTTGTCCGGATGTACCCCTAGAAGTGCGGGTGAGTTTCCCCAACCAAAGCCAGGGGTGTGTTTGGCAAGCCGTTGCAAGCCCCAAAGCGCAAGGCAACGCCATTCCGCCCGGCAGAAACATATGTGCAAATAGTAGCCATTGGATGCTCCGCAAGGCAAAATGAAGGATTTGCAAGAAGAATCCAAGCCTCTGCTTTTGGCAAGCACAAGAAACCCTGTGGGGAAAAGGATCGGCAAGCCTGAAGGATCTTAGGCAGCTCAAAACTAGGTGGAGGCTGCAAACAATGACCATCGTGGCGTCCCTACTTGCGGAATGAAAATACGGTTCCACTTTAAACATCACCCCAAACACAGCAAAAAGGGCCCAAATGGCGATGTTTGAAAGCACTGTAAGGGGGAAATACTGTACAAGCGCAGGACATGTTTTTAATGCCGCTACCGGCAAGGGCGTTGTGCCCTTGGTGCATTTTCAGGGGCCGGAAGTGCAGGGCACAGACGCTCAAACGAATGCTGGTACGCCTTTTTGGGTTGCTCCCAAAAAGAAACTAAAAGACAAATGCCATTCTGGGGGTCCCCCTATCTTTGAAACGTAGCCATATGAGCCATGGTCAAAACTCTGGTCAAAGTTAGGCTGCAGCTTAATATTTTCCACCTCACGTAGATCGTTGCCAGATGGTGCAGGCACCTAAGTAGTGGGGTTGGTAGGAATGGTCATGGACTCCTTGACAGGATTGAGACAAGCCCTACAAGGGTCCCTCTTGAGGAAACGATGTCCATAACCCACAGGTTGGGATCGGGCTTCAAGTTTCCAAATCAGCTGGACGAGCCCGAATTTTCCCACGTCTTGGGGGAACTAAACACCCATCGCAATGCATTGGCCATGCCAAACCAACACGTCTGGGTGTGTTTCTTGAGGGTACCCTTTTCAGGCTGGTTTAAAGGGAGGCCAAAAACAAAGCTACCAGTTTGCCTATTCTTGACACCTGCCCACATCTTTGTTACAGTACGTTTGCCTGGCAATCAGAATGTCCTGAGGCTGGTGCTATGCGATGGATGTTTCTGAAGCATCTTTCTGTGCACTTTGGCACATGACATCAAGGCAAACGTCTCACAACGGCGTCTGCATCGTCTGGATGGACAAAATCCAGTCCTGCTGAGCTCTGACAGGAAAGAAAGCTGATTTGGGTCTGCCTCATTTTTTAAGGATCATCCAGGCGCTTGGCTTCCTTTTGGCTACCCCCCAAAAAAAACACACACTTCAACTCCCAAGGGACGGTGCTAATCCTTCGAGTACAACTGATGAGTCTCGAGTACAACTGATGAGTCTCGAGTACAACTGATGAGTCTCGAGTACGATGAGTTTCGGCTCGCGATGCACTCGGCTTCCCTCTAGTGACGAAACGTTACCCGAAAGAACAAGAAGCACAAACAGCGCCGCAACCAAGGGGGCCAAAAAGACATTCAGAGATCACTTGCAGGTACGCATTGAGGCGTCCCTCGACGCTTCCGGCCAAACTTCCATAGCTTCGTTGGCGTGGCTAGGAAGATGGCTGCCACGCCCCCTGCGACAAACATGATCTCGTCGAGAAAGGTGGTGTCAGGGTAAATCTGACACTCCGCACACACACGCCCCTCCAAGAGGGGCGTACATTCTCTTTTGCATCCGGAAGATCACGCACTCAACTCCCTAACGTCTACCAAAATATCCACAAGCGGCGCTGGACCACAGAAGGTTACCGGCGCGTCGCAGCTCCTGAACCTGACTACGGCTTCAATTCGATGTTTTACCCCGATCAGCACAACGTGGCCACCCAATCATCGGCTTTGCGCATGTCTACGCAGATGGATGCGATTCTCCGATCTTCGGATGCATCGGCTTTCTCTACTGAGGATCTCCCTCGTCTGCAAGCAGGGATCGGTCAGCAGCTGTCGGATCGCGCGCGTCAAGCGTCGCAACCGCACCAACCAGTGCGTACGTCTCGGGGCGCTGATCCGCCTGAGTCTACTGGGGTCGCTGATCCCTATCTGCCCGCAAGCCAACCTAGCAGCTCTCGCGCCAAGGAGAAGCCCATCTTCGAACTAGTTGCTGAGTAGACAGATGAGTTTGGACCGTGGTACAAAATGGTTTCATGTCTTCTTGCTTGCATGTGTGTTTGTTTGTTGTGCATCGTGACTGTTTCCTTGCCAGCTGGATCGGAACCTGTGGTGCGCCCTATCGTTCACTTCGACATGGATACAGATGATGCAACTCAGACGTCGGCCCGGACTGACATTCAGCACCCGTGGCTGGAGTATTTAGTCTGGGAACGTGAGTGGGTGCGGATCTATATTCCTGGACAACCTCAGCTATGGCACCCGGATGATGAGATGATGAAGTACCTGCCAGAGAACACGTTTCGGGAGTGGAAACGGGTGACCGCTCCAGGTGAGGAGACTCATGAACCAGGCCAAGCATGGACGCTTCGAGATTGGCAGCATCAAGGTTACCAACGGGTATTGACCCGCTGTGAGTCCTTCTCCACCCACCATGCTCTGGATCAACCACTTGCTGGCTTACACAATCCGGACATCTCCATCCAGGTCGAAGAACTGGGTCCCCAGCATGGTCTTCGTCAGCAAAACCGCGGAATGATGGATATGTTCACCTACGCCCCGCCCATGTCCGACGTTGCACATCCATCATCTCTGCACCTTCCGCCGGTCTTCTATGGCGGCACACTTCCTACTCAACTTGGAGATCCTTCGTCCCCGTCTTCTGAGCGGCATCGCACAGAGCGTGCAATTTCTCGTTCTCCCCGCCGCAGTGGTGTAGCCTGGCTCCAGTCCCCACAAAGAGGCCATTGAAGCAAACGTAGGGGCATCACCTTTTGGCAAACGTTGACGCGCCTGCAAGAGCTGAGCCGCCATGGGTTCCAAAGACTTGTTGCCGTTGAGACGGGACGGGCGGTTAGCCCGCTTGATCAGCGATGGCACGGTAGTAGTAGTAGTAGGAGCCTGCTTGAGGTATAAGCGTGGGTGATCACTGGTCCAGGTGTAGCGCTTGATGATGTCTTCCGGCGTGCTGTGCATGGTGAGCAACTGAGGTGTTGACAGTCCGTGAAGAGATTGGATAATCCGAGGCTGCTGCTGAGATGGGACATCAAATGACCTGCCGTCAAGGGCCGCCGCACTTACCGTGGGTAGCGAGCTGGTAGGCGTCGAAGACTGTGAGTGATTGACCGGAGGCGGCGTGACCAGCTCTGCATCATCTTTCTGAGATGGCAACGTAGAAGGAGGCGACGTTCGCTGTGACGCCGAGTACTGTGCCTAGAGCAACTCGTGAGCTCGTTGTACTTCTTGAGCATCTCATCTTCTTGAGCATGGGGTGTAAGAGTCTTATGATGTTGCTGAAGAAACTGAAGCACCAGATTGCCCAAGTGATCGTGAACCTTGATCCGCTGATTGAAGTCGTCAATGTTAAGTCCCAGCGAATTGGCTAAGTCCTTTTCCAAGGTAAGCAGGTTGAGTGGTTGAGATCGACGGAGCAACTTTGAACAGGTACTCCAAAGCAGGGCCTCGGTGCGGGTACGAAATCCCAACCACGTCACGAATCTCCCGTGAGCAAATGGCCTCAGTAGCCAGCTAGAGATGCCACCGTGAATGACCTGAACCAGGCGAACATCCCGGGTGTCCATGCCCGACATATCCCGTTGCGTATTGTGTGGGGTGTTGGCAACCGTCATATGGGCAGGCTGAAGGAGTAGAGCTGGTTCATGTCCAACATGCCGTCACCAGGTTGCCACTCTTCCGGTGGGGTAAGCCATGCTTTCTGAGGCTGCACTGGCAGCGTGGCTGGATAGCCAGGCGCTGTCGTTGTTTGGGAAGGATGAACTTGTGCGTGGCCAGGAGGTGGCATCATCGACTTCACGGTCTTCGCCGGTGTAGGTTCAGGAGGGAACGGCATCATGTAGTTGACCGGAGGGTGCTGATAGAGCTGCGATGAGGAGGGATTCGGCTGGTAGTTGCTCTGCGTCATTGGAAAGGCATTGGGTGCGTTGTAGCTCGGATTGTGTTGCCAGGAGATCAGGTTGTTCCAATCCATGCCGTCCGAGACCAAGGTGTCGTCCTGATCACGTCTGCGCGCTTTACGAGGAGGTGAAGATGGGCTCCTATCCCGTCTGCGCCGAGTTCTGGATCGGTCACGATCATCCCGTCGAGACATGGTGGCACAACAAACTCAAAACCGCGACAACTCAAGCTTGAGAAAAAGCGAAACCGACAAGAGTTCAAGCCAATCACAGATCGACACGCAGTCATGCAGCAAACTACAGCAATTGTGAGACTTAGCTATGATCAGACGGCTGTCTTCCCTTTAGTGAAACCTCGTTCCTGCTTAAATCGTGAAATTCCGCTGTACTATGATATGAACGTTGAGGTCAAATTTTCCGGCAAACCGGCCCGGGGTCACACGATGGGTACACCCGAGGTTCCCCCAAACTGGGGTAGTCACACTTCAACTCCCAAGGGAGGGTGCTAATCCTTCGAGTACAACTGATGAGTCTCGAGTACAACTGATGAGTCTCGAGTACAACTGATAAGTCTCGAGTACGATGAGTTTCGGCTCGCGATGCACTCGGCTTCCCTCTAGTGACGAAAACGTTACCCGAAAGAACAAGAAGCACAAATAGCGCCGCAACCAAGGGGGCCAAGAAGACATTCAGAGATCACTTGCAGGTACGCATTGAGGCGTCCCTCAACGCTTCCGGCCAAACTTCCATAGCTTCGTTGGCGTGGCTAGGAAGATGGCTGCCACGCCCCCTGCGACAAACATGATCTCGTCGAGAAAGGTGGTGTCAGGGTAAATCTGACACTCCGCACACACACACGCACAAAAAAAAAGTCACCTGGGGCCATGTCTGCCTTTGCAGCACTCCTCCCGGCTTTTCGGGGACACAGCCCGGAGCGTGAGCAGTTCCTCGGGCACGAGCTCCGGGCCCCAGAGTTGGTGGTTTCCCTTGAAACTCAGCTGATTTGGGTTCAGCTAAAGTTTCCTCAAAATCACAAGCACGCGTACACAAACTCTGACAGACACAGAAAGACACACAGAGACAGACTGCCTTGCCCAGGTATGCAGCAAGCCCGTTTGCACGCGTGTCCGCTGACAAGGGTTCAAAGACGCCCCTTGCGGCCAAGAAACGTCCCGGCCATTGGCTTTGTAGTCAATGATGAGGCAAATCTGCCAAGACTTGCACATGTTAACAATCTGGGCCGGGCTTTTCTCCAAATGGGGACCCCAAAATGGAAGGTTTCTCCAAAGAGCGGATTGGGCTCCATGTCAATTGGGAGAGGAGTGTATCCACAGCCCCTGCCGGGCCGGTTCCCATTCGCCTCACCGCTCGGCGTGTCAAGGGGCTGCACGTTGGAGACGTCCTTCCTTGTCTCCAATCGCCACAAGCCACAGTCAAAGACATAGGAAAATTCGCGCTCGTTTATTGGGCGCAAAGGCGGCACAACATGACACGACGGGCCTAGTTTAGGGCGAACCGCTGATTTCGTGTCAACAGGGCCCCTGTTGGCTGGTTGTCCAAGGAAATGAAATGCAAGACCGGCCATCTGGAAGACTTCGAAAGTTCTGCGCGTTCCCACATGAGCACGACAAAATTGTTTGTTCTTCAAGAGGACACGGAAAAATTGAGCGGGCCCCACATCACTTTTTCTAACCCCTGGTCTGACGTGAGGCTGGCACCCCCTTAGTTTTTGTGGGCCCCGTATGTCCGCTGCAAGCTATCAGTAGTCTACCAACCATACTGTCAGTTACTCACACGTGAGTCCTGGTCATGGCTCCCCTGATCCCCAAGTAAGGTTTGTGTTTTGAGCGTGGCACACCTGCGGGGGAAGCAGGGTTGGCATAGCGCAATTATAATGGCCAGACAAAAATACAGGTGTTCTTGTGTTCTGTGCAGAAATCAGACCTGCGCCCAGGCACAAGAGGACAACTCCAGCGCCAAGCTCATCAGTAGGCCTCTTGCCTTAGTGGGGTGTGCCTAATAAGAACCCTGGTTGGAAGCAACCCATTTAAGAGGGAATGCGTCGCTTTCTGACACCCCCTGTTCATCCGAGATAACTATTGGCGATAGAAATGGGATCACGACAAGTGGCACCACACCAACTTCCGAACAGGCCCGCTCTTCAGCGCAAAGTAGTACGACCGCCAGCCCCACTCGTTGCCTCACCGGGGGTTCTGCAAGTGGAATCCACGACTGCGTGACTGAGGGTAGGGTGGGGGGTTGGCGGCCAAGTGGAATGCACATCTCACTCGCAAGACAGTGCCACTGCTCCTGCAGCTTAGTGAGTCCCAATCAAAACCTGGTATCAAATGGGGTCCGCCCGAAACACTCAGAAAAGAATGGTTGGGACTGTCAGTGGCTCGAACGTCAAACGCTCGCTGGCCTCTGATGTGCTGACGCAAGTCCTGCAGGAATGGAGCCCAGTGCTGGGGCAAGCACATCTGAGACATACTCCCCCATGGCTTGACATGGGACCCAAAAGCCTCTGCTGAGGAACTTCCTTGTGGTGAACCTCCTTTTTGGGATTGTTAAGTGGCAGAGTCCCAAATCCATTGCGAGTTAGGCCTTGCGAAGCCTTTGAACGAGTCGAGCGGTTCCCACCCAAGGCGATGCTCGCACAGCTCGGGTCCAGCTGGCCAAAGAAGAACAAGTCTCCGACAAGCAGAACCGCCGTCGACACGTAGGGCAAAAAGAGGAAGACGTTCTCCTCTCAGGGATTCGGAACCCCAAACTGAACCATCCAACTGGTGATTTCCTCAAAGGGATCTCTAGGTTCATTCCCAAAACCATTGGTGAGCGCCTACTGGGAACCAGCAAGACAAAGCGTAAAGCCGCCAGGCAGAAGTCCCCATCACAAGGCGCTCGGATGAGCCTTGTGCCTCGATAGGAGAAACCACGCCCCGGTCGCAGGCAAGTCACATATTCTGCTTCAGCATCCTGAACCATTCAAAAATACAAGGAAGGTAAAATGATGATGAGCCCAAGGAGTATCGAGTGAGTTCAACAAAATTCATAAGAAATAAGAAACAATGCCTTCGCCAAGCTCAAGCGCGAATGCATTGTCATCGCATCGATCCAATGATGGAGATGATGCATGTACCCAAGACTGCCAAAGCTCACTAGGGAAACGTCGTGGGCACCTTGATGTCATACTTCCCTAGATGACTGCATAAAATACTTATGCCAGAACCATCGAAGTGGGTATCAAAAGGGTCTGCCCAAAAACCCCTAGTAAGTATCCTAAAGACCGCTTGCCGATTGGATTTCTGGACTGTCCCCAACTAACCTTCCTGGTTTGGATGCTGGCTCGTTGTGAGACCAACCTGGGTTTGTTTCATCAGCATGGCAAGCCTTAAAAGGTTGCCGATGTCCAGTTGATTTCCCTGTGAAACCACCAACTTCCACCACAAGGTTTCAAAAGAGATTGCCATGTCCAATTGGGCTTGTCTCCAAGCGTGTGAGCTCCTAAAAACGGTTGGTGTCCTTCAATTGGGTCCGAACGAAAGAACCCCCTGCCCCATTTCCAGCCTCCAGCCATGCCAGCAAGCCCACCTTCGTGCGATTCTGGTCAAAGAGCGCCTTAGCTCAGCAACCCGCCAGCTAAGAAAAGAGAGTTCAGTCATCGTTTCATCAGATGCTGATCAAGATCAAAATGTGTTTTTTTGGGTTGCCAAGTCGCCATGACTCGTTCAGACTCAGGGTGTCCCATATTTCCTCTTTAAACATCACCAAACACAAAAGAAACTTCACTTTAACCTGGCCCAAAAAATGATGTTTAAAACTTTGCCAACCCAAGTGAGAAACATAGGGAACTGCTAGACCATACAAAAACCAAAAACAATACAAACAAAACACAACTTTTGGGCTGCGATGGGTTGCCACTGAAAAAAGTAGACCAAACAGCAGGTGACAAGGTCACAAGGTCGATCTGGTCATCAAAACCTCATCCGAATCCCGTGGAAAGGAATCGATTTCGGAATATCCAGACCTGGCAAGGGGATTGTCCCATACAAACCTTCACATCGGGTGTGACTCAAGTGAGTCTTGGGCCTAAGAGATGCTCATGAGCGTAAGTCCAGAAAGATTCACATGACATCTGGAAATGGGTTTTTGCCCCCTGCTGGCGTTTGTGGGAAATCTGGTGAGTCCGCATTCGCATGAATCCCAAATTGAAAATACACCAGCCTTTTAAGCCCAAATGCCGGGCCCATCGACCTTTGACTGCCCGTTAAACTAAGAAATGGATACCAGTCCTCCATCTTCAACAAACTCAGAATTTGATTGGTGAAGCTGCCGGAAGAGACGATGGTGCCAAGTGTCTGTGATGGCCTCACATTCCTTCCAGGCACTGAGAGTGATCCGCGAACCCAAAAACCAACAGGTGGAACCAGCAGCTGCTGAATGTGCGTGAGGTTTGCCTTTGAACATTCAAGAAGGTCAAACCAATTTGGGACCCAAGTGATCAGTTGCACCTTCAAGACTGCTTTTCCATGTGGCGGGCCAACATGTAACATGAAACCGAAGTGAGTTGCTATCGAATGTACTGGTCCAACTGTGCATTCACTCTTTTGCTGGTGGCCGCCGCGGGCCCCCAAATCACCGTTTCAACTGGCCGCAGTCTGCCCCAAATGTCTGGGACATCAAAGTCCGAACCTTGTAAGTTAGTCCTACAACGGCTGGGCTAGTCCAATTAAAGCTACTTGGTTGCCCTTGTGAGCTGAGTTTCCTTTGGGTGGGATGTTGGTTGAAATGGCAATGACCGATTTCCCCATTTTGGATCCCGGAGATGCCTTTAAAAGAGCATATAAAAGGCGGTGTTTTGCCAAGAGAGATGATCTCAAGTCTTGTCCTCCCTCCCTTTCCTTCCTGTTTGTGTTTCCTAAAATCCCCTTTTCGCTCCTTGTGGAGGAGGTAAGGCCAAGCGAGCAGCACCCGTAACCGATTGACGCTTGGTTCTGCCAACATTGTAGAGGTCATGCTGGCCTTGCTATCACCCCGAAGAACCCAAGTAGAAGGGCCAACAAATACCTTGGCAAAAGCTCCGAATACCAGCCAGTGAGTGTTCCCGTCATAGGAATCCTTAACGCGGTAGTCTAAATCCCTCAGGGTCCATGGCCACCCCTACCAGCAAGATTCTCAGAACTTTTCCAAGAACTTCCAAGAGAGTTAAGGGGCGTCGGGTTTTGTCCCTGATTCACCAACTCTCCGAGTAGAACCAATAGAGTGTGTGGGCACCCAAGACACAGTGCTTTGAACCCAAGCCAGCAACATGGGGTCTCGGACCCCCCCCCCCCTCCCACGGGCAAAATGGATGGGTTTTCCTTTTTGCTCTCAAAGATGCGGAAGGCGGCACCAGGGTCCGAAAAAGAACCAAAAGCTGAACACCGCAAGCCTTGGCACCGTACCCGTCCTGGCGCACCTGCAAACCGCCGCTGAAGTCAGAGCCCCCCCACCTGGTCCGTGCGCTCTCGCTCAAAAAAAACCGAGGGCACCGCTGGAGGTCTGTGTCACTTTGAGGGCGTCTGGGTTGCTTAAGTGGGCAAGCAGCTGCAAGCATGCATGGAGGTCCTCAAAAATTCCTTTGAATCTGGAGGCCTAGAAAAAAGGAAAACCTCGGAAACTCGAAAATGCCAACAGAAACTGAGGCACCGCGCCGCAAGCTGAGATCGAAGCAAACAAACCAAATCTAACCGAACTAAACCAAACTGAACCAAACTGAACTGAACCCAGCAAACCAACAAACCAAACCAAACCAAACCCCAGCCTCTCGTTGACGGCATTGGTGGCGAACTGCAGCTCATCAATAAACCGCGCTCGGGTGGAGGACGGCAGGTCCAGTCTCAGCGTACGTTGGTTTTTGGCCCAACCGGCGACGCGTCCCGTGGCAAGGAAACAAAAAATCAGTTCTTGAAGAGCACCACAAGCCCATTGAAACCCAGCAACCAATCGCTTGTTTCAAACCCCGAAAGGGTTCCGTCAACAACACACAGCTTCCCTGAGGTCAGGACACCATGTCCGGAACCCGATGCATTCGCAGCACCACCACCTCCGCGTTGAGGGGTTTCTTGCATTTCAACGCATTTTGCGCGCAGGTGTACGGGGAGCCCAAGGCCCTCAAGCTTCGCAAGAAACCTTCGTAGAAGGAGTGCACAAATTGGGGGGTAAGGGGCCCGAATGTCTCTGCTTATTCCGTTGGACTGGTGCTGCCCAGATGCTGTGGAGCAATAAGATGAGAGGACCTCAGAGTGGCCGAGGCTCGGACATTTCAAGCTTAGCAAGTTCTGACTTGGCTGAATTCTGACGAGCTCCGTAAAATGATGGAGCTTGGCTGCATTTGTAAAGAAAAAAAAGGATTGTGTCACACAGCATCTCATCGGCTTGAGCAGGGAAAACAAATGTGGCATGGCGACTAACGCCACGGCGCAAGCAACCCGCCGCAACGAATTGGACCTGCTGGTTCTTCTTGCAGCAATACGTACCAGCAGCACACGCATGCGCTGCCAGCCTCACAAAAATACTGCAAAACCTCGCGTTGCCAATCGCACGCTCAACATAATCTCAACAAATGCTGCAACCCTCGAGCCACGCCCATGATAACATATACTGAAAATGCACGTATCAAAAAAGCATGCAAATATCCAGTGCGAAGCATGCTGGAAACAGCAACGTGCATGCTGGCCAGCAATCGTTCGTTCTGCCAGACTGACAGCATCTCTGTTTTCTGCTTCACCATCAGGCTGCTACAGTGCCCCTCTGACACATGCCATCACGCGGTCATATCGACTGTGTCTCGCGTTCTCCATGCTGCAACAACATGAAGCACCAACCAAGCTGCAAAAGCAAGCAATCGAGCAACACTCAGGCATGGATGCGGCAACACTGTGGCATGGCGACTAACGCCACGGCGCAAACAACCCGCCGCAACAAATTGGACCTGCCGCTTCTTCTTGCAGCAATGCGTACCAGCAGCACACGCATGCGCTGCCAGCCTCACACTTCTGCTGCAAAACCTCGCGTTGCCAATCGCAAGCTCAACATCGTCCCAACAAATGCTGCAACCCTCGAGCCACGCCCATGATGACATATACTGAAAATGCATGTATCAAATAAGCATGCAAATATGCAGTGCGAAGCATGCTAGAAACAGCAACGTGCATACTGGCCAGCAATCATTCTGCCAGACTGGCAGCATCTCTCTTTTTTGCTTCACCATCAGGCTGCTACAGTGCCCCTCTGACACATGCCATCACGAGGTCATATCGACTGTGTCTCGCGTTCTCCATGCTGCAACAACATGAAGCACCAACCAAGCTGCAAAAGCAAGCAATCGAGCAACACTCAGGCATGGATGCGGCAACACTGTGGCATGGCGACTAACGCCACGGCGCAAACAACCCGCCGCAACGAATTGGACCTGCCGCTTCTTCTTGCAGCAATGCGTACCAGCAGCACACGCATGCGCTGCCAGCCTCACACTTCTGCTGCAAAACCTCGCGTTGCCAATCGCAAGCTCAACATCGTCCCAACAAATGCTGCAACCCTCGAGCCACGCCCATGATGACATATACTGAAAATGCATGTATCAAATAAGCATGCAAATATCCAGTGCGAAGCATGCTAGAAACAGCAACGTGCATACTGGCCAGCAATCATTCTGCCAGACTGGCAGCATCTCTCTTTTTTGCTTCACCATCAGGCTGCTACAGTGCCCCTCTGACACATGCCATCACGCGGTCATATCGACTGTCTCTCGCGTTCTCCATGCTGCAACAACATGAAGCACCAACCAAGCTGCAAAAGCAAGCAATCGAGCAACACTCCGGCATGGATGCGGCAACACTGTGGCATGGCGACTAACGCCACGGCGCAAACAACCCGCCGCAACGAATTGGACCTGCCGCTTCTTCTTGCAGCAATGCGTACCAGCAGCACACGCATGCGCTGCCAGCCTCACACTTATGCTGCACAACCTCGCGTCGCCAATCGCAAACTCAACATCATCCCAACAAATGCTGCAACCCTTGAGCCACGCCCATAATGACATATACTGAAAATGCATGTATCAAATAGGCATGCAAATATCCAGTGCGAAGCATGCTAGAAACAGCAACGTGCATACTGGCCAGCAATCATTCTGCCAGACTGGCAGCATCTCTCTTTTTTGCTTCACCATCAGGCTGCTACAGTGCCCCTCTGACACATGCCATCACGCGGTCATATCGACTGTGTCTCGCGTTCTCCATGCTGCAACAACATGAAGCACCAACCAATCTGCAAAAGCAAGCAATCGAGCAACACTTAGGCATGGATGCGGCAACACTGTGGCATGGCGACTAACGCCACGGCGCAAGCAACCCGCCGCAACGAATTGGACCTGTCGGATCTTCTTGCAGCAATGCGTACCAGCAACACACGCATGCGCTGCCAGCCTCACACTTCTGCTGCAAAACCCCGCTTTGCCAATCGCAAACTCAACATCGTCCCAACAAATGCTGCAACCCTCGAGCCACGCCCATGATGACATATACTGAAAATCCAGGTATCAAATACGCATGCAAATATCCAGTGCGAAACATGCTAGAAACAGCAATGTGCATGCTGGCCAGCAATCATTCTGCCAGACTGGCAGCATCTCTCTTTTCTGCTTCACCATCAGGCTGCTACAGTGCCCCTCTGACACATGCCATCACGCGGTCATATCGACTGTGTCTCGCGTTCTCCATGCTGCAACAACATGAAGCACCAACCAAGCTGCAAAAGCACGCAATCGAGCAACACTCAGGCATGGATGCGGCAACACTGTGGCATGGCGACTAACGCCACGGCGCAAGCAACCTGCCGCAACGATTTGGACCTGCCGGTTCGTCTTGCAGCAATGCGTACCAGCAGCACACGCATGCGCTGCGAGCCTCACACTTATGCTGCAAAACCTCGCGTCGCCAATCGCAAGCTCAACATCATCCCAACAAAATACTGAAAATGCATGTATCAAATAAGCATGCAAATATCCAGTGTGAAGCATGCTGGAAACAGCAACGTGCATACTGGCCGGAAATCATTCTGCCAGACTGGCACAGCCCTCTGACACATGCCATCACGCGGTCACATCGACTCTCTCATGTTGCCAGACTGGCAGACAAACATGCTTCAACAATATCTCTTTCTGCCTCACCAGCCAACTCCACCCATCTACCTGCTATCGACTGGCTCTCTTCTTCTTTTTTTGGGTTTGACCTGCGCCATGGAAACGCAGCCGCAGCAAGAAAGCAACAATGAAGCACCAAATCGAGCTGCAAAAGAGCAGCAATGAAGCAGGACTCATGAATGTGGCAACACTGTGGCTACAGAAATTATCCACCCCAAGCAACCAGGGCTCACCTCCAATTCTAGCCGGGGCCCAAATCCCCCAACAGATCCAAACCGACATACTAATTAGAATTACCCTGTTGCCAACATGGAAGTGCACCAAGCGTATTCCGAAGGAGATCTTTCCAAGAAGGAGATCGTATTCCGAAAGGCGTGAGGAAGGTCATGTGATTTTTTGGTGGATTCGCTCTAAACCCGGGCCGCCCTGTTTACTTACATCATGCGGGTCACCACGGCCTGCGCCAAAAACACAACACATCTAAGGGTATCTGATCCAAAACACAGAAACCAACAGGACCATAAAGGTGTATCTATATATATATATGTATATATCTATATATATATGTATATATATATATACACATATGTGGTCCACATGTATATGTATATACATACATGTATGTATATATATATATATGTCTATATGTATATAGGCCCTGCGACCCCAGGGTGCTATGAGAAAACCCATCGGCGAGGGGCCAGCTCCGCCAGCTCTGAGAGCGCGAGGACATGCTCCAGCGACCAGCTGGAGGCCTCGAATTCGACTCGGCTCGAAAAGAAGCCAAGTTCTAGGAACGCATTTCTTGGAACCAAATGGACACCACGACCTGCACACCATCTCTGTAACATTGCCGGAACACCCAATGAGAAAAGCGATGTCAAATTCAGAGAAACCATGAGCGCGACATCTTTTGCAGTCGAACATCTTGAATGGATGGGCTTCTGTGATGTGCCAGGTAAAAAATAAGTGGCACTGCAGCGGCTATGACACCTACACTATCGCAGCTCATAACCCAAGCGCGCGAAATACGAGCAGGCTTGAATACAGGTTGGGGACCCAGTAGAGAGGCCACAAAAGAAATTTGCGGGACATGTTGTTTTGTTGGGAAAGAGAACTGCTGGGGCTGGAGGTATAGAAATTGCAACGCAAATGATGCTGATGATGCTAGATATGCTGGAGATGTGGGTGATGCAGCGCGAATTTGGCCGCACATCACTTGAGCTGGAAAACAAAAACGTATTAAAACTCTTATCCCGGGATGTTTTCATTGCAAATCCAAGCGGCGGTCTTCATAAGAGTGAGGTCCCCCAAAAACATGCCCCTTAAGTGTATGAGGTCTCAGGTGTGTACACCGCTGCAAATTGTTGCTGGCTGCTGCTGCTGGCTGCTGCTGCTGCTGCTGGCTGCTGCTGGCTGCTGCTGCGGCTGCTGCTGCTGCGGCTGCTGCTGCTGCTGCTGCTGCTGGCTGCTGCTGCTGCTGCTGCTGGCTGCTGCGGCTGCTGCTGGCTGCTGCTGCTGCGGCTGCTGCTGCTGGCTGCTGCTGCTGCTGCTGCTGGCTGCTGCTGCAACTCATTGCTGGGATCTGCAGACACAAAGAAAATGCAAACTACAGAAATGGGCCACTCCTGATCCAAGGCATCTACGACTTGCGCGCGACTTGCGCGCGACTTGCGCGCGACTTGCGCGAAAACTTAGCAATCTTCCGGATTCTTTCGACCATGCGGATGATGATGATGATGATGATGATGATGATGATGATGATGATGATGATGATGATGATGATGATGATGATGATGATTATTATTATTTATGAATCATCACTGCGTCACTTGCGCTTCACTTGCGCTTTACTTGCGCGGCCCCATGTTTGACTTGCGCGGCCGCTCCTGCAACACACTCCTGCCATTCAAATTACAAGCGGCGGTGCAGCTAATTTGATAGGTCCAAAAGACCTGGGATCATGCCTGACATTGACACATACAACGTTTTTTTTTTTTTTCTCCGACTCACTTGGCATGCTGGCGGGTTTTTGGGCACTCACTTCAAATGTGTTTGGGAAGGGAGCATGCAATAATGCACAATGTATGTTCAATCGACGCGAAGCACCTGTACTTGGCGTCTTTGTTGAGGGTAATGTGTTTTGGGCGGTTTTGAATGGAAACCAAAAGGAACCACCATCTTGAAGTTGGGACGCCTCCATCCACCCCCGGGTCCGCTGGGAGCCAGGCGTTGAACAGAAGGAGGCGCTCGGAGGTGAGGACAAGGGCCTGTCTGCTGCGCATCCAATTGGCCTCAAGGCAAGCGGGAACCAGCGCGGTGAAAGTCCCCTTGTGAAAAAGGCGGTTAAACACCTGTTGAACCAATTTCCTTTTGGTTCGTTGAAGGAATTGAAGCATGGGTTGGTTAAACAATTTTCGAAAATTCAGGATTGGCGAATTTACCCCAGACTGTTGCTGTCTTTGGTCACATCCTGATTTGTTCAAAGCCGGCATGCCTAATCCTGATATTCGTTCCAGAGAAAAACTACAGAAATTCCAGGCAAAGGATCCACTACTGAGCAATCTGAAACCCCGTACTTAACCGCACCAACGATTTGCACACATACATTGAGCATATCATACGTTGGCAAGATCCCCTTGCTCTGCGCTTTGCCCTAGCTTGAAACCGCATGGCGTTCCTTTAACCCGATGGCTCATTTGCAGTGTGGGGTCATACGCGAACATGTCACACTTTGTGACACCCTGTGTTTTGGATGCTCAAAAGGAAGCAACGAGGAAGAGGAGGCGGGAGCCAACTCTTTGACGTGCCTTTCTTTTGCATATCTGCTGTTTAGCATAATTTGATATGTGCTTCCCTGAGCAAAGTGCTGCCTTTGGGCTTGCCCTTTGACACCATCCGAAACGAGTTCCAAATTTTAGTACACCCCCCAAATGTCCCATCAATCTCGATTGAAGAGCGGGTGCTGGAAAGCAGCGCATAAAAAAGGGAGCTCAAAGCATTCAAACCTTTAGCCATAGCAACAGTTTCCATAAGGGCTCTGAGAAAACCATTTGCGCTTGTCTCCAATGTCATATGGGCCTAAGCCTTCCTTCAAATGTATCCCAAAGAAGGCACCCTGAAAGTGCAAACCCATCTATGCAACCCCCGAGCTGGGCCGTTTTCCTTCTGGCTGTCCTTTGGCTTCCCTTTACCCAGGGGCACACTCAAGACGCGCGCTCGGACGAGAAAAGGAAGATCCCGGCTCGACCCATCGCCGGGCGACCGGATCTGCGTACACCCCGGAGCTCTCCAAAGTGTGGCACCTATTGGGCTCAGTGGCTGGCGGTGCGGAAATGATGCTAATTATGAAACTCCAAAACCTGAGATAAAATAAGAATTGCATCCCCTAGCAAACCTTCACCATGGGCTTGTTTGAGGTGAGCTCGACAAAATAGACAGTCAAATGAAGCTGGAAGCAAACCAAACCAAAGAGCAAAACAATGCAGGACCCTCAAGTGCCTTCTACTAGAAGCAAACCATTTGGAGGGGCCCAAGCCTGTGCAGCAAAATGAACAAGAATGCAAATCTCTGGCAAGTTTGCAGATCTCTGGCAAGTCTCTGGCAATCCTTGGGGCCTGGCAAACCAGCATGCGTGTAGTTGGTGACAGACCTGGGCCAAGGCATTCCCTCCCTTTTGAAAACCATACGAGTCTTGTGTGGTCTCATGCGCAAGTCCGAGATCCAGCGCACTTCAAGTGCAGCAAAGCTGCGCTGACCACACGCCTGCAGCTTCTTCAACGCTCAGCTGCGCCTGATTCTTCGCGCGAGAGTTTTTCCTTGGCACCCGAGACGCTATGAGGTCCGGGGGGGTCTGAGGGGGGATAACTAAGCCCTTGACAAGGCCTCATTGAGGGGCTAATACGTGATTGTTCCCTTCCCACAATCACTGAAAGGACCACCCTGGCCTATGCCTCGGTTATCACGCACTGTCTGCACAAAGCATCGTGAAGCCGAGGCTATCCCTCACCGGCGTTTTCAGCATGCTCAGCGTGTAGGACCTGAACACAAACCCCGCGCCCCACTCCACCCATTGCTTTTGGAAATGTAATGTGAGAGTTAAAAAAAAAATGACTCACATGCTGCTCCCATGATCATGACTCAATTTGGACAGCACCACACCACGCCAGTCCCGACCACCCCATTCTAGCCATTTAGGCCAATCTATTCTCTGCGGAATGTGCGCGTGCGTGTGTGCGTGTGTGCGTGTGTGTGCATGTGCGCGTGTGTGGGTGCGCGCGTGCGCGCGTGCGTGTGCGCGTGTGTGCGTGCCCGCGTGTGTGCGCGGGCGCGGGCGCGGGCGCGGGGGGCGGGGGCGAGGGCGGGGGCGGGGGGGGCGGGCGGGGGCGGGGCGGGGGCGGGGGCGAGGGCGGGGGCGGGGCCGGGGGCCGGGGGCCGGGGCCGGGGCGGGGCGGGGGCGGGCCGGGGCCGGGCCGGGGCCGGGCCGCGGCCGGGGCCGGGGGGCCGGCGGGGGCGGGGCGGGGGCGGGGGAAAAAATGTAGAAAAGGCTGATTCTAGGGGGTGGGGGGTAGATGGTTGCCTGTTCTGTTTTTTTATTTCACATTTCAACACGTGTACCACCTTATCCGTTTTTAAAAGGCTGATTTTGGGGGCATGAAATAACGATATGGATGTGGTAACGAATTGATGATTTGGTCCCCTGTCTCGTTCCAGATTTCAACTTTTAGTTTTATTGATTGAAAGAGGATAGGACTTTCTGCGGTTTCACGGGTTGGCTTTTGGGCGGTTGTTGTGGTTTGTCATTTAATGACTTAGGTTTAGGGTTGGTTTTCACCACGCGACTTGACACCTGTCAGGTATCTCATCCTTGACTTTATGACCGAGACCGTTTTCTATCAGGGCCGGCTGTGAGGGTGTCGTTTGGTTTTGGAAGTGTTTAGTGTTTCCCTTTGAGGGGTCTCTCATGTTCAACGTCTTCATCATTGTTTTAGCACACCTGGCATGTTTGAAGAATGCACTACAGTTGAAATCAGTGAGCACTGTATGAGCTGACTGTGATTTGAAACATCAACCGCTACCATTTGTCAGCATCAGTTGCAACCACGCACCTGCTTTCTGTTGCTACCATCCTACAGCTGTGCAATGGCTCCTAAGTCAAAGACCGCCATTGAGGAGATTGACGAACAGGTCGCCCTTGGTGAGGCCTTTGAGAGTGAAAACATGGACATCGACTTTCAGGAAGAGGAGGAAGAGGAGAGCGACATCGCGACTGATGAGGAGACCACCATTACAGAGGAAGAGTTTCAGACACTCATGAACATCGAGACCGAGACCGATGTCTTAGCGGAGAAGCTGAAGGACTTGACCTTGACCCAAGCCGTTGACCTGTCCGAGCACTGGAAGGACATCGCGAAGGAGATGTTTCAGAAGTATAAGCTGGTCGCAAAGCAGAAGTCGCTCTTGGAGAAGATTGAGAAGAAGCAGATTGAGAAAGTCCAGAGGATGGCAAACAGCCAGAGGAACCGCGAGAAGAAAGCCACCGAGAAACACAGTTTCATCACGGTGACGGTACATTACCAGGGTAAGGACTATGAGATTACCATCAAGAAGGGTGACCGCTTGAAACAGCTACGCGAAGCCTTGAATCGAGCACACGGCAACATCTTCCCCAACATGGCTATGACTACGCGCATCATCTACATGTTCAACGGTGATGAGCTCAACGCCCACAATCGCCGTGAGCTCTTGACGTGGGGCATCCAGAATGGAAGCGTGATTTATGCATCCGACATGGCGACAGGCTCAAATGACAAGAAGGACGACAAGAAGGACGACAAGAAGGACAGCAAGAAGGAAGACAAGAAGGATGACAAGGGTGGAGCTTCTTCATCCTCGGCTTAGGTTTGAAGCTGAAAGCATACATGAGCAGGGAAGAAACAATCGTCAAACACGAACTAATGAGATTAAACTTGATGCTTCATGTTTGGAACAAACTCTTTGATGATTGTTTTGATGACTGCTACGGCTTTGGAGAAGCCATACCCACCTGTCTTTGCAACGCATGGCACAAAAGAAATGGAACTCATTCTTGCCATGTGTGTTGATATTGCTTGGCTCTGAGCATTACACAAATGAGTGTTTCATGTCATTAGCATTTATTGCTCAATTTTGAAAATAGTGTTCATTTGCTGTCTTTAGCAATTGCACTGTGATGGCTTCGCGTCGCGTTCTCAAGACTCATCTCAAACATGATGACGGAGTTCGACTACTATCAAAAAGAGCCAAAGCAACCATCCTGAAGAAGATGAACTACCAAGAGCCTGAATCTCAACAACCTCAAGAAGTGACAGGCTTAATCAACCCAATCAAGGAGAGGATGGACACACTTCGTGATGGTGTCTTTTCGGGACAGTCTTCTATCCTGGCCTTTCTGGAGTCGCTCGACGAGGAAAAGCTTGAAGCGGTGAAGAGAATCTACAACAAAAAGAACTTCACCAAAACCATCAGTGAAGAACTCATTCTTCAGTCGGTTCCTCTTTTGATGGATGACTTGAATCTCATCCAGACCTATGAAGACCATTTGAAATCCGCTAAAAGTCTTGTCATATCCACATATGTGGATTGCTATTCATTCGCATACAATGAATGCCGAGGGCATACTGTACATTTCGACAACACGGCTTTCATCAGTGATATAGATAAAGCCTTGTCTTTCCGTCGTGCTTTACGACGATGCTCTGAATCCCAGCAGAATGGTGATTTGAACCAACCTGCAGAGGATTCAAGGTGTGTCATATGCTAGGTGGTATTGACAACCCAAATACCGAGGGTATTGACAACCCAAATACCGTGGGTATTGAGAACCCAAATACCGAGGGTATTGAGAACCCAAATACTGAGGGTATAGCATACTAGGGGTATTTCATACCGAGGGTATTGAGAACCCAAATACCGAGGGTATTGAGAAACCAAATACCGAGGGTATTGAGAACCCAAATACCACCTTGCAATGTGGCAATGCATGATTTGACTCCATAGCACAGACACCTTTATATGGTGTGAATTGAGTCATTACAAACTGTTTGCAAGTTGAGTTGATGGAGAAAAACAAATGGGAGACTATGTGTAATCTAATCTCTTAATGCACATCATCAGCTTCAAGGGTCCCACTGAAAAATGTCCAGAACGCCAGGATGACATCAAGAAGAACAACATCAAGCCTGCCTTCTATGAGGTTCAACTGAAGCCAAGGGTTCCACTTTTTTATTTTTGTCTATCCCTAAACCAAACAACAAGGGAAACTCTCGCCAATTTGTTATTTCAATGTTTGAGCCCAAGCCCAAATTTCAAGGTTACTCCCCTTCAACCCCTTCAACTCCACTTTCCACAAACCAACTAAATAAAGGGCATAATCCACCATTTCCCAAATCATCGAAACCCAAAAAAATCACAAAATCCATTTCAAGCTCATCACCAACGACCCCAATTTCAAGTTTCAAGCCCAAGCCCAAACCCACCCCTTTTATCCATCCCTGTTTGTCAGAAGGTCCGCCTCCAACGACATCAAGGACGCTCATGACGCTGGTTGCTTGTAATGCTTAATCCCCCCTTCTATCAAACAAACTAACAAATATATCACTAATCAAATCAGTAGGTATCTTATACAACTCATCTTGTTTATGACTGATGTATCCATCACCCCAATCAACCTTTTTACCATTGGGCAATCGTTGAGCAGTTTCAATATGCTTTCCATTTCTTATCTTACCACAATCCCTTTTGCATAATGGTCTAGGTTTCCACGTTTCAATGTTAGTCCACAACCTCGTCCTCTTTCGGTAGTTCATACCATATTTACAGTAATCCACATCATAATATTTTAGACCACTCATAAAGGGCTGTTCCTTCAAAAGTCCAGTTGCAGGGTTTTCAATGACCCACCACTTCGGTTTGAAGTAGTCGATGATTTCAAGGGTTTTCAAAACAATACTATTAGCATACTCAATCTTTCGGACACCCCTCGTCTTCGCTATGCTGTATTCTGTGCACGGAGGAGATGACCAAATCACATCAAAATCATCAACATCAAACTCTTTGTAGTTCCAACTCAGAATATCCTGATTGATATCAGCATTTTTCAAATCCAAAGAAATCACACTATAGCCCAAATCACGAGCGACCATGCCAACACTGCCAGTACCACTAAATAATTCTAATAATTTCATATTATTAGAATTATTTAGATATTTATTTTATTGTGTAGTGTCGCGAAGCTCACTAGGCTATTGCTTCGCAATAGCGTAGTGTCCATACGGGATTGAATTGAAAGCATCAATATAAAACCTTTTATTTTCACAATTACTGAGTGATTGCTTGACTTGAGACATTGAATATATTTGATGTGTTTTGCTCCTGATGAAGTTGTAGGAGATTTCGTGCTTTTTGTTGTGATGCAGTGCTTCGTGGTAGTTCTGATAGGTCAATTCCTTTTTAACCTTGTGCTTGACTACACCTTTTGATTTCTTGTGTTCCTCATCCTCGCCGTGGATTGTGAAAGCATAGGATTTAGGTTTCAACCCGATGAATCTAGTAATGATTTTTCCAGTGACTTCATCTTTGTACATTCCTAAGACCTTCTTATTTGTTGTGTCATGGCATGGATGTTCAACAGGATAATCACTAAAATCCATATGTTGCTTGATACCTTGAAAATCCTTGTAGATATCATCCGTGAAGGTTTGAATTACATAACTGTCAGTATCTGTATATATCAATTTGATATTTTCGTTGTATTTCTTTTTCAACACACCATAGTAAAACTCATACATATGTAATTTACTCAAATCCAAAATTGTCATTCCTAAGAATATAGGTTTATCAAGTTTCAAGACCGACTTTGTCTTTTCCACTCCTACCAGATTTTCATTAATGATAAATCTATTTTTGAAAGTAGGATTATTCACGCATTTTTCATACCTAACATCATTATCTACCAGTTCAAAATCCATATGTTTTCTTTTGTCTTCCATAGTTTTTCCATACACCGCCTTATTCATTAATTTGAACAGGTCTTTCTCAAAGTCGCTCTTCGCTTCTTTCCTTTTGCCAGTGTTGAAGTCAATCCATGGTTTCAACCAAGCCCTCTGTTGAAATTTTATTATCCTATGAACCTTGGTGAGTTTCATACCCATTTTTAGATAATACTGTAAAGTCTTGATATGAACAACATATTTTTCTTTATCTTTCAAATTTAATATTAACTTGCTGGTTTTCTCATCCTTCGGTTCTTTGTTTCCATAGTAGATTTTGTAGATTTCCTTTTGATAGTCTGACAACATATTAGCATTGACATTCATTATTTCCGGTGCTAGTGGATAGTCCGAATGGTAGTCATGTAGTGTTTCTGGATATTCCAAATCCACTTCAAGGATGAAACCATACTCATCTTTTTCATCCCACTTTTCAATGTTAGGTGTTTTCTTTGTCCATTTGATGTTCTTTAAAGGCAATTTTTGAGACATCGCCAGACCATACAGATTGTTAGCATCTAAGTAATTGATATAACTTGACGGTTTACTTTCATCAAAGGCTTCATCCATATACTTATTGTTAGCCATAGCCAGTTTATGACTGACCTGACACATACCTCCTCTCATTCCCTGTTCAACCATCTCATACATTTCTTTATCGTGCAACTGCTCAATTTCAACACCAGTTTTCAACAACATAGCTTCCCAAGCGAAGTTAGGAAGCGTATAATAATGAGCGGGGTCCAAACCGTAGTATTCCATACATAAGTCTCTAAAGTTTTCAAAAACATCAGTCAATAATAAAACATCGGTTCTCAAATACAAATCGTGATATTGCCCTAATGTTCTGATACCGAAGTGTTTCCAAACCTTTTGTGCCCTTTCATAATCTTTGTCGTTGACATGTTCCTCACTTAATTTACTGTAGAACGCTTCTTTTGGCGGTAAGTTTCTTTCAGTAAATCTGTCAAAACTATCAAAATAGTCATAAGGATAAATCCCCTTGTCAGTCAACAAGTCCAAATCTTCATCGGTTTTAACATATGGATTTCTAACACTGTATCTAAAATTGTTCTTCCAGTTCTCACGCCTTTTATCATCTTCATACTTACTCAACTTTACCAACTTATCCAACGAAGACGATAAGAAGCTAAAACTGTCCTTGAAACAAAGGTTTTTAAAACCAAAGGTTATGAACTTCTCGCTGTTCTGTGCGATGCAATCGATTTTAGCATTCTTGCTCAGTTCGTGTGCCTTGTTGATGATTAAGTGAGCATCATAGTTTTTAAGGTTATGAAGAAAGACTGGTATTTTATAATATCTCATACTGAAAGCAAGATTACAATCATCATGAGCACAACCTCTATATTTACCTGTAAAATGGCAATGGTCTCTAACTTTTTTATCCCCTTCCTGAAAGCCCTTTCCACAAACGAAACACTTAGTAGCAGTGTCAAAATCTGTTTTATCGTCCTCAGTCATGATTATCTCTTTCACTTCCTTCATTTTCTTTATTACATCATCTCTGACTTCATTCATTTTCTCAACGAACTTATCCATACAATCTTCGCCTCTGTATAAATAGGGCTCACTGCTTCCAGTGATGGCATTGACTACATTAATCATAAAACCACAAGGACGATGATTTTGATATGATGTGGTTGTCGCTTTTGTCGATTTGCTTTTAACATCAATGGGTACTGTTAGACATTCAAAGTCTGCATATATGACATAAGGCGCTTTCAGTTTCTTAAAATGATTCTTAAATTCAATCGTAGCTCCTACCTCCGGCATTTCTATTTGTTGTTGTTCAACCGCTAGACAACCCTGTTCTTCGTGTTGTTTTAATAACTCTTCTGACTTGAAACCGTG